TTCAAGCCCTGTAGGCTGATTCACAAAAATGTTGTAATAGGTTATTTCTTTTTCCACAGTTGATGGGTATGGACATCCTGGTTCATTGCTGGCAATACTTGGATCTAGGTTTGTGACTTTATTATATTATTATTGTATTTTTTATCATTTCTGTCAATTTTGTTCACTGTGATGATTTGTTTTATCTACAGTGGTGCAGGAAAAACATCTTTGTTGAATGTTCTTGCGTTTCATGATTTTGGTCAGCTTGAGGTCAAAGGTCAAGTTACAATAAATGGAGAACCTTTATCAGATCACATGTCCAGTCTGATGGCATATGTACCTCAAAATGACCTCTTCTTTAGTTTGTTGACTGTCAGAGAACATTTGCAATTTCAGGTAAGGCATTATTGGTCAAATAAAGTGTAATGTACATTATGGTTTCCTAAACTAGATTTTGGAGTAGGAATTGTATCTCAAATCACAGTCCCTATAGAGGGACTGTGCTCAAATGCTACTTCGGGGCCCATTGCTGCTGCTCTGTGTATCTCAAATGCTACTTCAGGGGCCCGTTGCTGCTGCTCAGTATATCTCAAATGCTACTTCCGGGGCCCATTTCTTTTTACTCCTGACACATCTAAGAAGTATCCATTGTTGTCTTGTATTGTTTCAATTCCTAAAAACAACACAAAAACAATATTTACATAGTAATAACAATGACGCCTGCTGAGTCCAGGTATTCAACTTGATATTACTATGGCAATTCAATTGTGAAATATTGTATATAGGAGATTTACCCATAATTCATTGCTTATCCTTTTCACAAGGCTATATAAAAAGATTTTTTTTAAATACCCACAATGCATTATCAACATCTTATAAGGAATACTTTACAGGCCCTTGTAAGAATGGACAAGTTCATTTCTAAAGAGAAGAGGATGGAGCGGGTTGAAGAAGTGATGGAAGAGGTTGGTAATAAAATGTTGTGAAGTTTATTTTATATTAATGAGATTGATTTTTGGTGCACTCTAGTCTAAAAAATATAGCACAATAATATGAGGTTAAAGGTGGTTTATACAAGTGATGTCATGGGATGTATTATCTAACAATACAATTCATGATGACACACATATCAACAAGCTCTATGAATAAAAGATATCACATGATTAAATCTTATTTTTAAATTTTTTTGTACAGAACTGTACTTAACCATATGCTAATTAGTGATGGGGTCTAATTTCATTTGCTGTTATAGCTACCGATGGTTTTCTTAGCATTATTTTTTCATTATTGCATTATTATGAGTTATTCCTGCACCCAACATAATCATGTGATAAATCAACATATGTATCATCCCACCTCTCACCTGCTATTTAGAATTGTAGCTGTTCTTTTATGAAGACCCCATGGAAGTCACAGTTGAAAAAAACAGTGACATTTTTGTAACTTATAAAGATTAGGAACTCATCATATTTAAGTGGTTTACAATAGTAATGGACATGTGATGACCTCTGTACAGTATTTAAACTGCTTGGGTTGGCCTCTATCAGATTTGTTCATTTTGCATGTTTTTATCTGTCTGTAGTAACAACTATGTTTGTGTGTGTAGTGTTTGCTTCTCAGAATATATAAATTAATTTTGAGATCTAAAAATAATTTAATGATCTCTTCATTTAAACCAATGTTTGTTTATCTATGCTAAACAATTGAAGTTTGCTTTCTTTTTTTTGAACATTGTAATTTTAAAAATCACCAATGTATTTCTTTGATTTTAAAATTGTATCTTAGTAATGTATTGACAGATTGGATTCAAACTTGCTTGCCATCATGGGACATTTTTGTTTTATGGATCTGATTTGAATGACAGTCATTTTTAAATAATGCTGTTCTTGAGATGTACAAATGACAAATTGCCCACAGTGATTTACATTAAAAATGAATCCATAGATACATAGTCAGTGATTTAAGTATCACAAGCACAATTCTACCATTGGCATTGACTGGGTCTAATATGTAGCTTCTATACATAGCAATTCATTTTAGTTTTGTTTTCTCATTTTTGACAGGGATTGTAGCATGCTGAAATTGCAATTGGCTGATTAGCATTCACTCAGTTAATGGTTTTGGTTTGGTTTGCATGATAACTAACTAAATTGCAGCTGTCCCATGACTGTTCCACTGATATCTAAAGAGCCACTCATTGAATTTTGATGAAACTTGGTACATAGATGCTCTGGGACAATGCGCAGTCCTAATTTGTTTTGGGTGAAAATACATGCATTTTAATTACCTAATTTGCATAATGATTAGTCAATATTCAACTTTCCACTGATACAGTGTATCTCTTTTATTAATCATCACATTACAATGAAATCTAATAATTAGTCAGTTTTTAGCTTCAAGCACTCATTATCTTATTTTAATTAGTACATAAATACTCTAAATACTATTCTTGAAATTTGGTTCATATTTGCTCTGGGGTAATTTCAGATATCTCAAAAAATCAGATTTAAATTGAACTTGTGGGTAGAGGTGCTCTGGAATAAATTTGACTGAACACAGATGTATTATATAAACTTTAATATTGTGGATCACATTGTTTTCATGATGTAAATGTACATCTCAAATTCGTTCTAAGATTTCTTTGATTTTCTTTGCATACAAAATTCTCCATTGAATGTGAATGCGTTATTGCACCTAAAGAAATGTTGCAAGAAAGAAGGCATTTGTTTTAAACAAAAACATCTACAAACAAACAAACTTTCAAAATGTAAATTCTTGCCATAATTTCATCAATGAGCTCTACTTCCATTAAAGCTAATTATTATCTTCCCTGTATTTTCATATTCTTTTTTTTCTAGCAAAACAACAAGCGTTTTTTATTGTAGAAACTAAAATATGTCAAAATGTTATTTTAGTTTGTATTGCTTTATTACAGTAGATTCTTGTAGATTCACTATGACAGTAATCACTCCATATTCTCTATCATTTACAGCTAGGCTTGTACAAATGTTCCAATGTTAAGATTGGAAGCGCTGGAGAATTTAGGGGAATTTCTGGTGGAGAAAGAAAACGATTGGCTGTAGCTTCTGAGGTTAGTGCCACATACAATGTTGTTGCAGGTAAAAAAAGCAACCTACTTTTTGAAAAAAAAACAATCTTGTGCAAAATTAAATTTAGCAAAATGTTGAAGGAAACATCAATCCAAACAACACAATGACCGCTCAAGAAAAAGCTCTACAATTGTAGGGAAATGCAATTTACAGTTTTTTTACATCACTTTTCATTCTCTAGATATTCAACTTTTCATCAGTATTATGTAGTCAGCCATCTTGATTCTCAAGCAAAGGATTATGGGTAAAGTATGACATCATAGAATCAGTTGTGAGAAATTAATTTCATCTATGACATGAGAAATGTTGATGCGAATTAGTTCAAATTTTCGTTGTGCATATATTATGTATAGAATTATTGTAATGGAAATTAGAATATTACAAATACACATAAACCTTAAAAAAATAAAAATCATTATTTTAGTCGTGAAGTATAGAATGACACTTGTTTGTCCACTTTTTGTGGTCAACAGGTAATATATCACCTATATAACCTACTCACATCGGTAAATTCTATACAATATAAGGAAATTGGAGCATTTGGTAGAAAAACATAAAAATAAATATTTTCAGTTCTGTTTCCGAGACAACTATTTTATAAGCATGGATGGCACCAGTACATGTATGCTACCATGTTTCTTTGCTTTCAGTCAATTCGAAGTTCAACTTTTGAAGTTATAGATGAAATTATTTTCTCAATTTCTGACAACAGATTCTATGATGTCATACTCTATCCATGATCCTTTGCTGAAAATTCAAGATGGCTGACTACATAAATTGATGAAAAGTTGAATATCTAGAGAATGAAAAGTGATATAAAAAAACATTGCATGTTTTTACATGTGCCTAGAGTATTATGTTGTTAGCCTTCACTTTTTTATCCCCTTTAAGTTTCACAATGTCTCTACCGCATGTTCCACCACAATTTTCTATTTGTTGACACATTGCATTGTGAGTACTAAAATTTCTCTCCCTACTCATTTATGGATTATTGACTTAACTTATAATCTTTATTAATCCAATTAGCTTCTTACAAATCCACGACTGTTTATTTTTATTAATCCAATTAGCTTCTTACAAATCCACCACTGTTTATCTTTATTAATCCAATTAGCTTCTTACAAATCCACCACTGTTTATCTTTATTAATTCAATTAGCTTCTTACAAATCCACCACTCTTTATCTTTATTAATCCAATTAGCTTCTTACAAATCC